CGGTACATGTGAGCATCAAACCATGAAGCTCTGTTATTTGATACCCATCCATGCACAACAACATTTCAACAACCGTTGTTGTGGCAGGTATTCTTTTCTTGTCATTTAGTAGGCCAATCAGGAAACAATGACAAAAGTCTATGATACAGTGATTGTAAGACATTTCTGGTTGTGGAGAAACTATTTACTCTTACTTCATGAACTTTCTTTACTTTCATATCTATCAGTCAATGGCTCATGCAGCAGGTTAAACCTGGAATGAGGAGTAGCAGTCTGTCTGGTGGTCAATGGCTCATGCAGCAGGTTGAACCAGGAAGTGAGGGGCAACAACCTGTCTGGTGGTCAATGTCCCATGCAGCAGGTTGAACCAGGAAGTGAGGGGTAACAACCTGTCTGGTGGTCAATGTCCCATGCAGCAGGTTGAACCAGGAAGTGAGGGGTAACAACCTGTCTGGTGGTCAATGTCCCATGCAGCAGGTTGAACCAGGAAGTGAGGGGCAACAACCTGTCTGGTGGTCAATGTCCCATGCAGCAGGTTGAACCAGGAAGTGAGGGGTAACAACCTGTCTGGTGGTCAATGGTTCATGCAGCAGGTTGAACCAGGAAGTGAGGGGTAGCAGCCTGTCTGGTGGTCAATGTCCCATGCAGCAGGTTGAACCAGGAAGTGAGGGGCAACAACCTGTCTGGTGGTCAATGTCCCATGCAGCAGGTTGAACCAGGAAGTGAGGGGTAACAACCTGTCTGGTGGTCAATGTCCCATGCAGCAGGTTGAACCAGGAAGTGAGGGCAACAACCTGTCTGGTGGTCAATGGCTCATGCAGCAGGTTGAACCAGGAAGTGAGGGGTAGCAACCTGTCTGGTGGTCAATGTCCCATGCAGCAGGTTGAACCAGGAAGTGAGGGGTAACAACCTGTCTGGTGGTCAATGTCCCATGCAGCAGGTTGAACCAGGAAGTGAGGGGCAACAACCTGTCTGGTGGTCAATGTCCCATGCAGCAGGTTGAACCAGGAAGTGAGGGGCAACAACCTGTCTGGTGGTCAATGGCTCATGCAGCAGGTTGAACCAGGAAGTGAGGGGCAACAACCTGTCTGGTGGTCAATGTCCCATGCAGCAGGTTGAACCAGGAAGTGAGGGGTAACAACCTGTCTGGTGGTCAATGGCTCATGCAGCAGGTTGAACCAGGAAGTGAGGGGCAACAACCTGTCTGGTGGTCAATGTCCCATGCAGCAGGTTGAACCAGGAAGTGAGGGGCAACAACCTGTCTGGTGGTCAATGTCCCATGCAGCAGGTTGAACCAGGAAGTGAGGGGCAACAACCTGTCTGGTGGTCAATGTCCCATGCAGCAGGTTAAACCAGGAAGTTTGAGAGTTTACACATCAGGAGTTGGCAGATTGTTGGCAGTCAGTCAGAGAATTTTCGACAGAATAAGCAATTCTTCAGCTACTTACATACTGGCAGCCACCTTGGGGAGGTCAGCCAGAAGTTGAAATACGGATGTCAAACACCTCAGAGGGAGCTAGGTAAACCATGATTACCACTAACAGCAAACATATGTTCATTGTTGCACGGGGCACTGAAGCATTGACGCAAATCTTAATCCATGTTTCAAGCTGCAAGACCTGATTTGTAACAGTTTTTTTAAGCAGTATCTTTTACTGGTTGATACATAAAACAGGAACAACTATTTCCAAACAGCAAAATATGGCATTCTTGACCAACAAATAATCCGTCCCAGTGCTGCTGATGCCTTAAAATAGATTTCCCCAAAATAGTGTGATGGAACTGTAGATCACCTGGATCAATATTATCAAACGTCACAAAGACACAGCTGGTGTCTGCAACAATACATACATGACTGTACTGTAGAGACATGTCTGGAATGTCATATCACAGTGCACAAGAAGATACATCAACACTCAACCTCTCTTAGAGAAAGAGCAGATCACGAGTGACCAGAACACCTAGTACTCTATCAGAAGGCAGCAGAAAAGAATATTCTATAATTTAATACATGCTGCTCTGAATGTTGTTTTATACTTCAGTCAACATTTAAACAATATAATGGTAGTCCCCAAGTCATCATTGCCAGTCAAACCAGTGGTTGATAGTAATGAGAACTTTCCACACCATTCAATCTTGTCAATCAAAAGACACAAATCCCGACCAATGATCTCTATTTAGCTGGCATTCAATACAAAGTGAGTGGAGTGAGTGAGTGAGTGGAGTGAGTGAGTGAGTGAGTTTAGTTTTATGTCGCACTAATTAAGAGAATGATTCCCAACAGGAAGACTTAGTTTCAACTTCACAAGACTCCACCAGTGGGACTTGTTGGTTCCCTGCAAAGGCTCCTTTCAAATACAACTTGCTTTGGTTGTTGTTTGCGCGACTCAGCAATATTCCAGCTATATGGCGGCGGCCTGTAAATAATCGAGTGTGGACCAGACAATTCAGTGATCAACAGCATGAGCATTGATCTGCGCAAGTGGGAACCAATGACCAATCTGTCAACCAAGCCAGCGAGCCTGACCACCCAATCACGTTAGTCGCATCTTTCAACAAGCATGGGTTACTGAAGGCTCATTCTAACCCGGACCCTTACGGGTTTCAATACAAAGAACACACAAGTTAGTGCAGGATTCTAAAAGGCAAGTGAACTCATATGGAAAGATCTGGAGTCCATCCATCAGCAGATCCTGCTGTCTACAAAAGGCTATCACTACACAGCAGCTTCTGAGATCACTCAGTCACTCCACCAAGTGTGATATGTCATTTATGTTACAGATATCTGGCATATGTGTTACAGGTCATATTTGATGAGATATGAACTAGTCATCATATGCAATGATGCACCTTGTAAGTTATTGATAATCACTTGTTTCAAAATTTAGGTGATAAAAAGCATCAAATCATCATTGATGCAAAAGACCAACACCATTCACAGTTCCCAAATACTTCAAACATGCCTGCTTAGTCTGCTGACAGTCATGACACAGCTGAAATTGTACAATGGCTGCAAGTTTGAGAGATCAAGTACAGAGATTAGAAGAACAAATGGAAGATTTAAAGTCCAGATCCCTTCGTTATTATATTTTATTTCAACTACTAAATGGTGAACAAAACGAGACGTGGGAGGAATCCGAAAATAAAATTAGACATTTTATGAAAGATCAACTTAAAATGACAAACACAGATACAGTACATAGCTCATAGACTATCTCCACACAAACCGCAGTCTCCAGTTATTGCAGACTTTATACTTACAAGGGACAGAAATGAAATTAATTATGATATCAATAATTCACTTATTTTTTCAATATTTAAGCAACACAGCCACACATGGCCTTGAGGTACATTCTAAATGGTTTCTGGGCCGCAACTGAAGCTGAAATATTGTTGATACTGTGTTGTGTAGATTCAATGAAGTCTCCAGTTGTGGAACAGCAGCCCTTACATGCGAAATGCACACACTTCCAATTAGAGGATAAACATACTGTGTTGGAAAATCAGGTATATAACGAAATTACAATAGCTCTCATGTTTTTATTTTAAATAAAAAATTAAGAGCTATTATAATTCGTAATAGTCCTCTTATTTTCCGACACAGTATGTTTATTACCATTCTACCATAACCGCGTTATTAAGATTTAAAAAAAACAACACATACTGTGTTGGAAAATCTAGGTATATAACGTGATCATATACCTTTGAATGACTTTAATTAACCAATCACAATCCAGTATTTACTGAAGTCAAGGTAGAATGTGTTGTAGTCTGTCGGCTGATGTTAAAGGTCACATGCAAACGTAAAACACAACTTTGTATGGATCAACAAATCTGATTCAACTTCGGTTGAAAAATGGACTGAAAACCGAAATCAAAGTTCGTTTCAAAATGCAAATTCAACAGCTTATAAAGTTGAAAAATATTTAGCGTTGACGGAATTTCTAACTGTGATATAGATATGTCGTTGTCACAGATAAAACTCAATGTCTTGTGTTTTATTGACATCTGTGTATTCTGCCTGCCTGTCTGCTAATGACAATATTCAATACACATCTGCTATCACTGACCACATGCAATTTGAACTTAACACCAATCAGGCTATACACCATAAACAAAATACATTGATTTATGGCCGAGTTCTAGTCTCTGTCACATTATGTAATTACACAGACAGGCAGGTGTGATACTTGAACACATGACATGTTATGATGTCTGTTGATTGCAAAATGTATATACACAAAAATAAGCATGTATTTACAAAACCCAACATCTCTACATATACACACACAATAAGCCGTGAGGGCATATGCAAATGAACCAGCCGTTACACTTGAGTGCACACCCACCCGCTCTGACTGGGTTCGGTATCCCGGGTGCTTCGTTTCTTGGGAAGTAAACCGAAGTACACAATATTGCACTTTTGATTTGCGATTGTACGCTTATAATTTTGTTTATATGTTTTTTCATAACCTGCAATGTATATTATATGTAATGAAGAAGTGATAATTGTGTTTTAATTATGTTTGATTTTTTGGTTGCATGTGACCTTTAAGGCAATAGCAGTACTCAGCAAAGAATACTTGCTGTCCTGCCTGCCAAGTGAAGAATTCAACACCATGAACATTTGCCATTTAACTTTTTAACTTTAATTTGCCATTCACTATCATCAATATCATGATGTCGCTTAATATAAGTGAAATTGCATTAATTACCCTTTCTCCTAACCCAACAACTTACCTTCAGTGACTGGTAAATGGGTTGTTATTTTTTATAGGTAAAAAATCATTTCCCATTCCGCCTACAGTAATTTTTTTTGTAGGAAAACTGGGATGTAGGCAAATTGGGACTGTAGGCAGAATGGGATGTACGGTAACCAAAAGTATAACTCTTTCATTCCATAGATGTTTAATCTCAGTTTTCAACCATCTCAGTCTTCAATCATTATGACATGGCTGTATGACTTGTGACAAGGTCGTCCTGAAAGAGATGTCACTAACCTGCTGTTTTCAATCTCGTCAACAGCAACAAGTCTTCTAATGTTCCTGATTTGCCACGATTCTCTTCTTTAGCCGAAACAGGAAAGAATGATTTAGCCCGTGTCCGGCGCTTTCTGGATGTGCTGCTCGACTCACGCAAACTGGAATCTAAAGAAACATAACTCAGTAATGACCACTCTCTTCAGGTTTACAGGACAACATAGCTTCAGATGACATGCTCATCTCGCCAAGTAATTACAGGGTTTGACAGGGGCAAGAATTGGTTCAACTGTGACCAATATGTTGTACTGGTCAATAGGAGCAAATATCATTATCCTGTCAGATCAATACGAAGTTGTTGATATGTAATGCACAAAATAACACTATGTTATTGTCTCCAAACCATTTCTCTCGAGATCAGAGAGGCTGAGATGTAGAAGATCATTTTATTCATAGCTGAATGGAAACATAATTATATGTCATTTAGGGGCTCTCAAATGATTATGACAACATAATGATGTTCTTTTTCTCACAAATATCATTTACATTGTAGAAAATTGTGCCTTCAGAACAGGATCAAATCAGGCTGTACCACATATCTTTAAATTATCTCCAAGTATTTAAATACATGGAGTGAGTCTTCCTGGCATAGCATATCATTTCAGTTTGAGATGACATTTTCTCATTTTATTGGGTTGAGTGCCATTCAAACCGACACTCTCAAAGTAAAGGAACAAGTGAATTTAGTTTTACACCGCACTCTGTAAATAATCGAGTTTGGACCAGACAATCCAGTGATCAATAGCATGAGCATCATCTACGCAATTGGGATACGATGACCTGTGTCAACCAAGTCAGCAAGCCTGACCACCCGATCCTGTTAGTCGCCTCTTAAGACAAGCAGGTTACTGAAGATCAATTCTAACCTGGACCTTCACGGGTCTCAGTGTAAGGGAGAGATTGTAATCTCAAATACAAACATGTGACCACTTTCTGAAATTCATGGTGCATCCATAGCTTCGGCCTTTGGAGCCGTAACCAAATTAAGGGTAAACAAAGCATGTGGTCCAGACTATGAGTTGTGAGACTTCATATATTTGTCGAAGTGGCGGTGGTTGAGTGATAGATTACTGTGTGTGGGCGGTTAGATGCCTTACAATGAGAGCGTGTGTTTTCGAGTGAGTGAGTGAGTATGGTTTTACGCCGCTTTTAGCAATATTCCAGCAATATCGCGGCGGGGGACACCAGAAATGGGCTTCACACAATGTGCCCATGTGGGGATTCGAACCCGGGTCTTCGGCGTGACGAGCCAACACTTTAACCACTAGGCTACCCTACCGCCCTGTGTGTTTTCGAATCCCAGAGGGGACTCAACCCCAATGTGTACTTGAATCTGTAGGTCACTGAGAAAGTGAGTGAGTATGGTTTTACGCCGATTTTAGCAATATTCCAGAAATATCATGGCAGGGGGACAACATTTAATTTTGCAGGAGAATACTCGTCCAATATTGATGTTTGTTGGCAAAGGACCCGGACATCTAGCTCCACTCACAATTACTCAGATCACAGAAGTTGTGAGGCAGAAAATTTAACAAAATCACCAGCAGCACAAGTGTTCACAAGGAAGAAAATTTAATCTATGGTCTGGAGTAATGAGTGAGTGTGTTGAGTTTTACACCGCTTTTAGCAATATTCCAGCAATGTCATGGCAGGGGACACCAGAAATGTGCTCTACACACTGTAGCCATGAGGGGAATCGAACCCGGGTCTTCGGTGTGACGAGCGAATGCTTTAACCACTAGGCTACCCAACCACCCCCTTACTGAGAAAGTGTAATCACAAACAGAGCATGTTGCAGTTTGGTGAAGCCCATGGGCATGGATACAGTGCTAACCAACCTAGAAGCAGTAACAACTTGAAATGGGATTCAAACTAACAAGGGTCTCCAGCAAGTCCAAGGAATATAACTCTCCACAATAAACTGAGGCAACTTAGACATGTGGACCACTCTTGTCCACTTTATATACATGGAAGTAATTGTAGAGTGAGTGAGTGAGTGAGTGAGTGAGTGAGTGAGTGAGTGAGTGAGTGAGTGAGTGAGTGAGTGAGTGAGTGAGTGAGTGAGTGAGTGAGTGAGTGAGTGAGTGAGTGAGTGAGTGAGTGAGTATGGTTTTACGCCGCTTTTAATCATATTCCAGCAATATCAGGGCAGGGGACACCAGAAATGGGCTTCACATATTGTGCCCATGTGGGGAATCAAACCTGGATCTTCCGCGTGACGAGAGGAGGTTTTAACCATTTGGCTACCCCACTGCCCTGGAAGTATTTGTAGGACATGACGTGACTTCTGAGGGATGCGAAAATAAGGAGACATGAATAATCCCTAGTGACATTTAAAAATAATTGCGGTTCCACAGATATTGAATCAGAACTTAAAAATATATTTCTAAGTTGTGTTATTTGATGGAATAGATTTGTTACAATGGCAGGAAAGGTGAAATTATGATCACTTGTGCAGCTTTCAACCATATCAAGTTGCAGCATTTTGTTGTTTCATATCGAACAAATGCAGTTGGATGCCTTTGCCAGCTGTTTGTGAACCAATCTGTTCTCTCTGTTCAAACAAATATTGATTCTCGAGTCAAGTGCAAAGAAAATGAAATCAAAGATATATCTTCTTGATAATTGATTAAAAGCTTGACGAGGAATGAAAGAATCAGGTTATCTTGACCTAAAAATTAAAAACAAGCAAGGTATTAACAGTTCTTTAGAATTATTAAGGTAGTTCACAAGGTTTCAGTTGCATTAAATAACGGTGTTAGTGGAGACTTTAGCAGCATATCAACGAAAATCTTGTTTGTGAATTTATACAATTTTGATCAGATTGAATACACAGAGAAATGAAATGAATGAGTTTAGTTTTACGCCGCTTTTAGCAATATTCCAGCAATATCATGGCAGGGGACACCAGAAATGGGCTTCACACATTGTACCAATGTGGGGAATCAAACCCAGGTCTTTGGTGTGACGAGTGAACGCTTTAACCACTAGGTTACCCCCCCAATGGACATAAACAACACAGTCTGTTGGCTGTGACAGCTTGTGACATGTAGAGACAGCGGACAGCTAAAACGATTCATTATTCCATAGAAACTGTCATTTACCACTGAATATCTGAAACTAGTCAACGTTTTGAAGTGATTGGAAAGTCCTGCACTATATCCAGCTCATGCATATGGTTTAAAAATGGTGCAAGGAGTCAGCATGAACTGAAGTGTTCTTAAATGCATTGATGCAGGAATATTGCTTAGTGTGGCGATAACCAAACAAACAAAAGACTTCTGGAGAATCAACATGAAGCAGACTGACTTGGATGAAAAATGAGAAATCAGGAATAAACCTTTGCTGGCCCTGATCTACTATTACTGGAATCAGCCGTACAAACATTTTTCCCCAACTTATCAGTGATTCAAGTGATATTAGTTACAACTTTGTTACACTTTTCAGTAGAAGAGTATCTGAAACTGTTATTCAATAACTTATGTATCTAAAATCAGAAAACAACAAAGCATAGAGAAGCTGTCAAGCAGCATTGAATCAATGAAAGAAAGCAAACTCACTTTGACTTCAAGATCATATTGAGTGTCATTTACATTCTCTACAAGTGCTCAAGTATTGCACCATTCAAATCTAGAACAGTTTACATCAACCAGATCGTAGGCCTACATCCACAGCTCATGGACAACCTCTGACAAGTTTTCACCATGGGTCTATGATTCTTACACAACTCTTCCCTAACTAAACATTCTAAAAGAACGCTCCATCCCCACCCCCCCCCCCAAAGAATGTTATTACTGTTACATCAACAATTCCTCTGACATGTGACTTCACGATTTAAAACAATGCAATCTGTCATGATTCCATCAACCAATCAGAAACTCAAGATTCCACATGTATTCCAGTCATCCAAAGGGTAGCCTACTGGTTAAAGCATTCATGTGTTATGCAGTGTTTAAAACTCCCAAAATTTCAAGCCAGACAGCCAGACTGTAACTTTAAAAAATGACCAGTCCAGATACAAACTTGCCTGTCCGGCTTTCATTAATGAAAAAAAAATAATCAGGTTTCTGAATACTTTACTGTTGCTTGTAGGCATCGCAATGAACAACATGGTACTGAACAGGCAATGCCCCGAGTTTAGGTAAACTGAAAGTACATGTGTTGTGATTGGTTATTGTGAAATGAACTGTCCAGACGTGAATCAGTTAACATAATTATCATAATACCTTAAACACCTAAAACTGACGACCAGAGAACCTGTCTGATATTATGAAATAATTACTGATAGAGGTAAAAACATCTACCAGAACACCGGACAGGCTACTTTTGAAATTTGACCGTCTGCGATGAAAATAGACCGTTCTGGATGGTCGGGCAGGCGGGAATTTTAAACGCTGGTGTTATGACAATTAGACCCGGGTTTGACCCCCATAAATGAGTACAATGTGCAAAACATGTTTCTGGTGTCCCCTGCTGTGATATTACTGGAATATTGCTTTACTGGAATAAAACCTTTATAAAGTCAGGCAGTCAAACAAAAAATTTATCCATAAAATTGTGTCCCTGATAAAACAGGTCCATGATTTTAGCTATGATTCATCTCGGACAGACATTATTAGCAAATCAGATCTATTTTGGACACAACAGATAACACTGATAAATGATTGCTCAAAAGTCATACAGTGTAAAGCAATATATATGTACTATTATCATGATGATATGTAATGACCCTATCTGGATACAGTCATTATAAGTCAGTGAACTGTAAATTACTCGTGGTTCTTCTTTGAATGGCATTTACAAGGGATTAACATGCATAGCATCACAGACTGTTTGGATATCAACTTCTGTATTTTGTTTCACACGACACTTCAGAGTTACATCTTACTCCATTTTCAGGTGAAGGGAGGTGGGGTAGCCTGGTGGTTAAAGCACTGCTCATTTCGTAAAACTAAACTCGAACACCTGGTTCGATTCCCCACATGGGTACAATGTGTGAAGCCCATTTTGGTGTCCTCTGACGTGATGTTTCTGGAATATTGCTAAAAGCGGCGAAAAACTAGACTCACTCGCTCTTTCTTCAGGTGAATACTACCTACCTACCTACCTACGGGTTGCTGGAGATCAATTTTAAGCCGGATCTTTACAGGTTATACAATATAAGACAACAACAAAAAACAATGGACACAATATAAACTCAGGACAGTTTATGTAACAAAGTAGGTGAATTACTGAGAAACCTGGTGTTTGTCAAAGGGGATGACAGAAAGATACTTCTGATAGGGAGCAGCCAAAGGAAATAGTTGCTAAGACAACAGTTTAATGAGTGAGTGAATGAGTTTAGTTTTAGGCCACTTTAAGCAATATTCCAGCAATATCATGGCGAGCACTTTACTAAGAACAATTCCCTACATGGGTACAATGTGTGAAGCCCATTTCACGTGTTCTCTGCTGTGATATTGCTGGAATATTGCTAAAAGCCGCATAAACCTTTACTAACAATCACTACTAAAAACAATCATAGCAATGAGTCCCAGGTAACACATCATCTGAAATCAGTCAGAAACAATAGACTTTCCTGATTTTCAAAATTGCCTACATGTTACAGTAACTACAGTAATATGTAATGGACAACAATTTACCACTGCCTGTTGGTTTCTAAATTTCAATCACTGCCTCAGCCATACGCCTAAATACTTCTGTCGATTTCAAAGCTTACAATTTCTCACCAACCTTACATATTGCACAAGACGCTCACATTTCAACCACCACCACATTTGTCGGGTATTCAAACTCCATGCCAGTTTTAAAAGATCAAATACATCCTCCACATACCACTATGAATATGTAAATCAAGTCCCACAACAGTCTCCGGGCCCCATACAGATAATAAATCAAGCTCCCAACAACCTTCCCCCACTTCAGTTTCTTTCAAGTAAAGTTAAACAGGCCTAAGCAGGCTATGCTTTCTTTTTTCCATAAACGTTTAATGCAAAACGGCAACCAGGATAAAAAAAGGCTCAGCTTGAGTGAGACTATCAATTGCTATCTTTCAAACAGTTTGAGAAGCAGAGAACCACCTGCTCATGTTGTCATGGTACGCAACAGCATAATGGAGCTTCATGTGAGAGGCTCCGCTGTAATTCACTGGTGCATGATGCATCTGGCAATCTTGAATACTGTATCAGTTCTGGGTGATTTGTCTCAGTGCCTATGACACCACTGACCTGATGTTGAAATTTGAAACAAACATAACATCAGCCTTTGTTCCTGTTTTTTTAAGATGGTTGGCGGTTTGTGGATGTCATGGTAATGCAATTCACATCAGCTCTTTTGTGTACCACCCTAGTGTACAGTACACACCTCTATATGAAGGTTTACTACTAGTGGTCACCACCCTAGTGTACAGTACACACCTCTATATGAAGGTCCACTACTAGTGGTCGCCACCCTAGTGTACAGCCAGCCTCATGTACAGCACACACACATAACCAATTTTTCAGTGTATTTTACATTACACTATATTTTGCAAAAGAGTGCGAAGTTAAATCCCTGATAAATTCCAAATATTTGCTAGATTGGCCACCAAATTCAATGCCTTCTCTGATAAGGAAGAGAGTTTTATGGATGTCGACTTCGTTATTAAGAGAATACAACGTTTCGGAGTATATCCTTACTCCAACACCTGATTTACCCCGAAACGTTGTGCTCTTCATAATAAAGACGTTGACATCCATAAAACTCTCCTCCTTGCGTGTATAACTTGCCAATGTTTTCAAGGCATCTTCAAACATAGGGCCTTCTAGGGGTCACACTGACAAATTGGGGGATGTGCACACCTTCATCAGACAATGAAGGCACTATTGCAGCTTGTTATGTATTAATTATGAAATATCTCTCTACTGTACTTGTGTACATTAGGTTGATGAAATATATTCTTTTTCATCATTCCAAAACACACAAATATAATAGACATAAATACACAAAGATGATGTTACATGCTAACTTGTGAGTATTAGCTGCAACTGAGTATAATTCTACACCAAGACAGCCAGTCGCAGAGAGGTGAACTTCCCAAGTGATCTCTGTTCATTCATGCAGCTGATTAATAGTATGAGGAAACCCCACACATAACACTTGACACCAAGTAAGAGTGAGTGAGTGAGTGAGTGAGTGAGTGAGTGAGTGAGTGAGTGAGTGAGTGAGTGAGTGAGTGAGTGAGTGAGTGAGTGAGTGAGTGAGTGAGTGAGTGAGTGGGTTTAGTTTTATGCCCACTTTTAGCAATATTCCAGCAATATCACAGCGGGGAACACCAGAAATGGGCTTCACACATTACCCATGTGCGGGAAGCAACCCGTGTCTTCGGCATGACCGGCGAACGCTTCAACCACTCGGCTTACCCACCGCCCTGACAGCAAGCAAGAGGAGTGTCTGTCTGTGGACAAACTTTGAACACTATGGCAAGTTGCTGTTCAATTTGGGAATAAACCTTAGTCCAAACAACAAGTCTCCCTTATCTTAGAAATGTCTTACACAAAAACACCTTCGCCTGTTTGCAAATGATAAAATCACAGGCATGAATCCAACCACAAAAATACCTAGGATGAAAAAACAGATTATTCCAATCTGTATTCTTCCCGAAATGATGTTCAAGAGCCTAGCTTGAGATTTGAAAAGATATCAATGAGAGAACTTACCCTTTTTGCTGGTGGTGTCTCTATCGCTGCTATAATCTGCTTTACTCTTGTTTGACAGGTAACGAGTCCCAAGGATGTTTGCCGCAGTTTCCCGATTCCCAGCTTCCTCGGCACAACGCTGCAATGCCTGTCCGTCCTCCCACGTCAGATTTGTAGTTAATCCCTCTTGTAAAAGATCGTGCAAGTTTTCCTTCTTTGATAGCCCTAGAAAGACATGGGTACAAATCCTCAAATAAGTGAGTTACATCTCTGCTGATCCCTGCCATGTTGCTGCAAGGGATGTTCAAGGCCCCTAATGGCTCGGGATAATGCTTGGGTGTTTTATTGAATCTCAGATTGAGTGAATTCTTACAAAGGAAAAGGAGTTGCCATTTCAAGGAGACTTTTCATGAAAGTTGTTTAAGGAATGTAATCAGTGATAACTGGAAGGCAGTAGGGTTCCAAGGGAAACTTGGACATCAGACTATCTTCAATTTGAAATGGAATTTCATCTCGTCTGTACAGTGACTCATGGGCTAAACTCTCAAAGGTTTTCCACTGCTTCATGATAAGCCAGGTGATGAGTGGAGAAGCACATCTATCTAGCAGGTTCATCAAAGGAGTAAAAAGATCTGGGTTACAGAGGCAGGTTTTATACAGATCCAAGCGGATGTCTTTCACAACATTAATTCTCAAGGACTTATAGCTAACTGAACTACTTTGAAAATAATAATACTTCCTAATTTCAAATTTCATTCAGTGCCACTGCCAGATGTGAAAGACCTATAAACACATGACCTTCCTTATTGTGATATATACGTCACTGAGAGTGAATGAGTGAAACTTGTTAACACGGCAGTCAGCAAGATCCCAAATATGTTGTGATCAGTTAGCAATATTCCAAATGTTGTTAACACTGCAGTCAGCAATATTAAAAACAAATGTATTATTAACACTGCAGTCAGCAATATTCAAATGTTGTTAACACTGCAACACTGCAGTCAGCAATATTCAAATGTTGTTAACACTGCAGTCAGCAATATTCAAATGTTGTTAACACTGCAGTTAGCAATATTCCAAACGTTGTTAACACTAGTCAGCAATATTCCGAATGTTAACACTGCAGTCAGCAATATTCCAAACGTTGTTAAAAGCAGTCAGCAATATTCTGAATGTTGTTAACACTACAGTCAGCAATATTCCAAATGTTGTTAACAGCACAGTCAGCAATATTCCGAATGTTGTTAACACTGCAGTCAGCAATATTCCATTAATGTTGTTAACACTACAGTCAGCAATATTTCAAATGTTGCTAACAGCACAGTCAGCAATATTCTGAATGTTAACACTACAGTCAGCAATATTCCAAATGTTGTTAACAGCACAGTCAGCAATATTCTGAATGTTAACACTACAGTCAGCAATATTCTGAATGTTGTTAACACTGCAGTCAGCAATAATCCAAATGTTGTTAACACTGCAGTCAGCAATAATCCAAATGTTGTTAACAGCACAGTCAGCAATAATCCAAATGTTGTTAACACTGCAGTCAGCAATATTCCAAATGTTGTTAACACTACAGTCAGCAATATTCCAAATGTTGTTAACAGCACAGTCAGCAATATTCTGAATGTTAACACTACAGTCAGCAATATTCCGAATGTTGTTAACACTGCAGTCAGCAATAATCCAAATGTTGTTAACAGCAGTCAGCAATATTCCGAATGTTGTTAACACTGCAGTCAGCAATATTCCAAATGTTAACAGCACAGTCAGCAATATTCCAAATGTTGTTAACACTACAGTCAGTCGAAGTTAACAATATTCCAAATGTTGTTATGTTGTTAACACTGCAGTCAGCAATATTCCAAATGTTGTTAACACTGCAGTCAGCAATATTCCAAATGTTGTTAACAGCAGTCAGCAGTCAGCAGCGGCAGTCAGCAAATGTTAACACTGCAGTCAGCAATATTCCAAATGTTGTTAACACTGCAGTCAGCAATATTCCAAATGTTGTTAACACTGCAGTCAGCAATAATCCAAATGTTGTTAACAGCAGTCAGCAATATTCCAAATGTTGTTAACAGCAGTCAGCAATATTCCGAATGTTAACACTGCAGTCAGCAATATTCCAAATGTTGTTAACACTGCAGTCAGCAATAATCCAAATGTTGTTAACAGCAGTCAGCAATATTCAAATGTTGTTAACACTGCAGTCAGCAATATTCAAATGTTGTTAACACTGCAGTTAGCAATATTCCAAACGTTGTTAACACTAGTCAGCAATATTCCGAATGTTAACACTGCAGTCAGCAATAATCCAAATGTTGTTAACACTGCAGTCAGCAATAATAACAGCACAGTCAGCAATAAATGTTGTTAACAGCACAGTCAGCAATATTCCAAATGTTGTTAACACTGCAGTCAGCAATATTCCAAATGTTTCTAACACAATATTCATGTTGTTAACACTACAGTCAGCAATATTCCAAATGTTAACAGCACAGTCAGCAATATTCTGAATGTTAACACTACAGTCAGCAATATTCCGAATGTTGTTAACACTGCAGTCAGCAATAATCCAAATGTTGTTAACAGCAGTCAGCAATATTCAAATGTTGTTAACACTGCAGTCAGCAATATTCCAAATGTTGTTAACACTGCAGTTCCAAATGTTAACAGCACAGTCAGCAATATTCCAAATGTTGTTAACACTACAGTCAGCAATATTCGAATGTTGTTAACATTCCAAATGTTGCAGTCAGCATAATAATCCAAAACGAATGTTGTTAACACTGCAGTCAGCAATATTCCAAATGATGTTAACAGCAGTCAGCAATATTCCGAATGTTGTTAACACTGCAGTCAGCAATATTCCAAATGTTGTTAACACTGCAGTCAGCAATAATCCAAATGTTGTTAACAGCAGTCAGCAATAATCCGAATGTTGTTAACAGCAGTCAGCAATATTCCAAATGTTAACACTGCAGTCAGCAATAATCCGAATGTTGTTAACAGCAGTCAGCCATATTCCGAATGTTGTTAACACTGCAGTCAGCAATATTCCAAATGTTGTTAACACTGCAGTCAGCAATAATCCAAATGTTGTTAACAGCAATATTCAAATGTTGTTAACAGCAGTCAGCAATATTCCAAATGTTGTTAACATTACAGTCAGCAATATTGCAAATGTTATCAGTGGAGTCAGCAATATTCCAAGGATGTTGTCAAGAAGAAAAATCTGCAAATTCAAGATATGGTGTTAACATTGCAGTCATCAAAATTCCAAACATGGTGTTGTTAACAGAGCAGTCGGGAGGAATCCCTTGCATGTCTCCTACATGACCGACCAGGCGAACCTGTGACTGATAGAATGATCAGCTGTATGCCCCATCAAGGCACGAAGATACAATCAGTCAGCGAGTCTGACCAAGCAGTCCCAGTCTGTCTCACAGAACCATATTATTTTCCACTTACCGGTACCCAGCCCTTACTGTCATGCAAAAATACGACAATGAAGCAAAGCCTAGTTCTCACTGTCAATCTTATTCAGTATTAATGGAGTTCTTTCTCTCCATCAAAATTTAATATTTTCAGCGACTAAGTGTTAGTCCCAGTCCCATTGTAGTCATCCAGGAACTGGGGTCCCTAGAAATGTGGAATAGAACGGGAGTCATTACTTAAAGTCCGTTTGACTTCATTTGCGACCGATGAATTGCTCACTAACACAAAATCTAACATATGCAACAAAATCAAACTTTGCACAGTCATATAAAATCGACAGACCATCTCAGATGATTTGTCTCATAATTTGGACAACTGAATAAAAAAAGTTGTTCAACAAACGACCATTATTTGGTTGTCACTTTTCGCTATTTCTTAGAAGGGAGGACCACTTGCTGGTATTCGGATGTCCAAAATTATGAGACAAATCATCAGAGTTGGTCTGTTGATTTTATGTGACTGTGCAAAATTTGGTTTTGTTGCAATCATTAGATTTTGTGTTAGTGAGCAATTCATCGGTCTAAACAAAGTCAAATGGACTATAATAAGTAACACTGAACAAACAATCTTGGGTCTTCCTTCAGGAAAAAACCCCAGGTAACCAGTAAAACAAAGGCTTCAGTGCACAGCTGCTCCCTGGTCTATTTTATATTGCTGACTGAACAGTTGGTGACCTTAAAGTTTCACTGATAATGGATTGCCTGACTTGTGTCTTTTATCATTGTACTAGACTAGACATGGCAGTAACAGAACAATTCCATTTCTCCTTTTCAGAGAGTTACACGACTTGGGAGAATTTACATATAAATGGCTTTAGTAATAACATCAACAATGAAAGTTTAATGTTGAACATTAATATCTCAGGGCTAAACAAAATATTTTTAGATACCAGGTTTTGTGTGAGAAAAATGCTTAAGATGTTCATCAGTCACGACATCACAAGTTTTACAGGTGCATATCCCAAAATCTATCAGTCGTGATGTCAAACATTATCATCACCAATGGATAACATCATCTTGACAAAGATGTTTCATGTAAAGTTTTGCATTTACAGTCCAACCATTGAAACATGAATCAACAAATACGTCATCACATTGAACATATATATATGAACATATGCATGCATGCGGGCGTGCGCGCACATGGGTTCAATGTTTGAAGCCCATTCAGGGGTGGAAATAGCCCATTGCCCGACGTCCGAGTCCAGTGTGTTTTTTCTGTCGGGCTAGCAAATTTGTATGTCACGCTGTACCAGTGTCCAGTTGAATTTCCAATGTTAATTATGTTGTTCATTTAAAAAATCAACAAGAAAATCGGCCAGTATAGTGGAAAAATTATCAGGGCAAGTGAATTTACATGTGCCACTGTACCGGAGTACATTAGCAATTTTAAAGTTATTTCCACCCCTGCCGTTTCTGGTGATATTGCTGGAATATTGCTAAAAGTGCTGTAAAACCTGTGACACACACTCACTCACCCATGTTTGATTGGAATGAGATTCTTCATGTATGGTCAGTAGGGTTGGGTATTAGCAAAATTTTCGCATTGCGATATATTGTGATATGTGTTGGCGTATTGCAAATTATTGTGAAAGTGTAACACATGGGTTAAGGTAATGAAATTACCGTTTTCTTTCTTTTGAAACAATGCCACTGGCCACTGTTATGACTCAGATGTGATTGTACAAGAGATCAATTGAAAATGTTTCCAAATTGAAGACT